TTTAAAAAAAGTTAATATCATCTTTCATTTGAGCTTTAACTCCTCCTTGCTAGGCTAGCTCTAAACAGATTATATCATTCATACCCACATGGGTATCTTGTCAGGTAATTAGTGACTGGATTAATTTAACAGATGATAGAATACTTAATATCGAAGGGCATGATTTAGTATATGGTTGGCATGCCTACTTGCTATATGACAAAAAGGTAGATAAGAACTTTAAAAGTCATATTTTAAGGAATGCTCTACTGCGGGTCTGGAAAAAATATCAGTACAAACTAAATGACAAGATACCCATGTGGGTATGAATGATATAATCTGTTTAGAGCTAGCCTAGCAAGGAGGAGTTAAAGCTCAAATGAAATATGATATTAACTTTTTTTAAAGTTTATTTTAGAATGTTTTTGTTAAAGATTTATACCCTGTATTGGTTCTGGGAAGTCGGGGGGGGGGGAGTAAATATTTGTAAGGTTTTTTTTTCAAAATTCTCAATAAAAAAAAAAAAGAAATGTGCCTGGTGGAGGTAATCGCCACCAGGAAACAACCTTAAGGGTAAGAAACTGAAAGCTCACCATCCTCAAGGGCTCGAAGGGAGCCTCAGTGAGCGCCTGAAGAACTGTAGGTAGGTCCCATGTAAGGAACCCGTGAACCACGGGGGGGGATGTCTATGATTTGTCACCCCCCAAAGAAATCTTAATAACCGGGTGTTGCGCTAGGGGATAAGAGCCCCCCACAAGGACTGTTGCCAGTGCCACAACCTGCCTCCTGAGGGTATTATGGGAAAGTCCCTTCTCGAGTCCATCCTGGAGGAACTCCAATACTTGTGGCACCGAAGCCGTTGTCAGTTCCACCTGCATGGACTGGCACCAGGACACAAAAGAGGACCAGGTCGCATTATAAATGCGGGTGTTAGATTGTCTCCAGGATGCCTCAATGGTCCTGATCACACTGGCTGAGAAATTGGCCGCCCTCAACTGCTCCCGTTCAAGCACCAGGCAGTCAATTGAAGCCACTGGGGCTCCGGATGATGCAGAGCACCTCCCCCTGTGGAATCCTCGAATGAGGGGACATGGACAGGTCTATCAGGTCCATGAACCAATGCCGCCGGGGCCAGTAGAGAGCCACTAGGATCACCTCCGCCCCTTCTGCCACTAATTTTCTCAGGACCCCGGGAATGAGGTGAAGGGGGGAAGCACATAGAGAAACCCTTCCAGCCATCTGCATAAAAGGTCGTTGGCATCTTCACTCCCTGAGTCGGAAACCGGGAGATGAACCTCTGGACCTGTGCGTTCGAACAGGTCCACGACTGGCCTGCCAAACCTCAGTGAAGACTCTAGGATTCAGCTGCCATTCCTCCATGGTTCACAGTTGCCCTGCTGAGCCAGTTGGCTTGCTGGTTCTCCACTTCCAAGATATGCTCTGCCTTCAGTGACAGGAGATGCCGTTCCGCCCAATTCCCCAACTTCGCAACCTCGTTCCGAAGGGCCAGGGAATGAGTGCCCCCCTGCTTATTGACATGGGCTTTGGAGGTGACATTGTCAGGACGAACACATGCTTGCCAGCGACCCGCATCATGAAGTGGCAAAGAGCCAGGTGGATCGCTCTGAGTTCCAGCCAGTTGATGCTTTGTTGTAAGTCCGAGGACATCCAACGACCTTGGGCCAGCTAAGAGTCGAGGTGCGCCCCCCCCCCCCCCGAATAGGCTCGCATCAGTTGTTAGCACCAACCTGTCTGGCTCCCTGAACAGGGTGCCCTTTGCTAGAGCTGGAGACATCCACCAACGAAGGGACAGGGGGATCTGGATGTACATGGATCTTGAATGTTGCATCGCTTGGCCCATCTCTCTGATGAGGAAGCAGTAGCCACTGCAGCTCCCTGGCATAGAAGTGGGCCCATGGAATGATCACAATGCAAGAGATGCACTTTCCCAGGAGTCGAGAGAGAACTATGGGAATAGAATGAGCCCGGCAAATCTGCTGAATCAGCTGCACTATACTGTTGCTACGGTCCTGGGAAAGGAACACTTTGCATTCCATTGTGTCAATAACTGCCCCCAAATGCTGTAGCCTAGTGGTGGGTTTCAGATTATTCTTCTTGAACTTAACTGAGAAACCCAGAGTCTGTAATGTCTTCATTGTGAGCCCAATATCCCTCTTGGCCACACCTGGCATTGCCACCTGAACTAGGATATTGTTCAGGTAGCACTGTAAGCAGACAGAGACGGACCGGAGATGTCCTGCTACTACTGCCAGTATCTTAGTGAAAGTCTGAGGGTCGGACGCTACTCCAAAGGGAAGAGCCCTGTACTGATAAAGGATTCCCCCATGTGAAAATCGAAGAAATTTCCTGTGTTCAGGCAAAATCAGAATATGTAAGTAGGCCTCTATGAGGTCAATAGATGCTAAGCAGTTGCCATGCTGTATTCCTGCAAGGATAGACTTCAAGGAAGCCATCTTAAACCTGGAACTTAGCAACTTTAAAACGAGTATGGCTCTCCACCTCTCCCAATACTCGTCCAAATTGAAGAGCCAAGCAAATACAGTACTTTTTCAGGCCGAGACAGATTAAACTGGAGCCATGCAGAGGAAGTAGAGGGGAGTGGCCTCAACTTTAACTTCAGTCTCTGGGCAGATTGGACGTGAGAATAACCCATCAGTGACTCCTACCACAGGCTACTTCGGAGAAGCATCCATTTTCTTACTTAAATCCACTAACCCTTCATTTAACCATTTTGTTACCAAATTTCAGACACATAATCTGGGGCTGCTCAAATGAGATGACAGAGTACATTGGTTTGCAGATTGCCTACTCCTGCCTAGTGAAACAATGGGATACAAATGTAGAAACATAATCTAGGAATTTATACATTTATTTACCGTATTATCATTTCTGTTTTAGGTTGCCTTCAGAAGATGGGAGTTGCCCAGATGCCAGTTTAGTTTCTGACCAGATTGTTGCTGTTAAGGAATTTTCATCAAGCAAAGGCTATCTACAGGCAGTCGATAATGAAGGGAACCCACTTTGCCTAAGCTGCCAAAAGCCAACAATCCAAGTTGAGCCAACGTTGACATATACCGCCTGGGACACACGATTTTGTTCTCTTAAATGCCAGGAAGATTTCTTCTTCTACACTAATAATAGTTACCTGAGAAGTAAAGTTTTTGAAATAGAACATGGGGTTTGCCAGTTATGTAGGTTGAATGCCCAAGAACTTTACCTTTGTGTCAGAGATGCCCCAAGGAGTCAGCGCAAGGATCTTTTGGAGAAGTCTTGGATGTCCAAACTTCCTTTAAAACAGGTGAAATATGTGGCCAGAATACACAAAATTGTTCTCTGATGGATGGATGGTTTTAGAAACATAGGGGAACTTTAAAAAATATCTTTTGGAAGAAGTAATTTGATTCCTTTCTGATACTCATTAAAGAAGTTGCAGTTGCTTGCATATATCCATATGCCGATGTAAATTCCAATTCCTAAAACAGCCACAATTTTTCCTTGAGGAAGCCTTAACTTCCTCCTTTACTTCTTTTTAAAAAAAGGTATTGGACTTGCATGTGTGAAGGTACTTTTTCTGAATTATTTTCAAAGGCTGAACAATTATATTAAAGCTATTTTCATGCAAAACTGCTATTCATGCAATGAAATAATTACACTACATGGTTATTGTTATGCTGTAAATGTTATGAACATTCGTTATCAGGCCCAAGCATTGAAAGAATAAAAATTGTGTTATTCAAACAGCTTGTAACTCAGCAAGACTGGCTGCTCTCTGAACACAGCAGATGTAAGCCTGGTAACTGTAGTCTTAATCATATTCCTTTGCAAAATGAATTAAATTTATTTTAGCTTTTCAGAGACAATATTGCAGATTAAAACAAGACTAGGAAATATATATATATATATATATTTGGTCTTGTCTCTCAAAAATATTAGGTAATACTAGAATATCAGAATTTATTATTTTATAGGTTTTTAATTACCAGTTTTGACATAGCCACATATTTCGGATGACAGAGTTTAGCAGCTATCCCATATGAATCTGAGTTTGAGACTAACAGTGTTATTAGCTGTGCTAGATTTCATTTCCAACTCATTAGGAATATATTTGGATCTCCAATGTACTTCATTTCCTGTTTTTAGAATGAAGGATGGCTATCTATCTTTTTGAAGATAGGCTAACAATTACATAATTATGATGCATATGTGTTCTCTTTTATTATCAGTTTAAAAATTAAGAACAAAGCTGATTTCCAGATGTTTGGTCTTCACAGATGTGATTTGGTGATATTTGAATTGACATTGTGTTTTTCTCAAATGAGCACTGCTATTTTCCTGGAACAATTATTATTTCTGAGGCACATAGCAAATTAATTTGACTAAAAGCAACAAAAGCATATTGGAAGGAAGATATATAAGTATATGACTCATTTCCAGGACATATATGACTGCCACTGATCCTATTTTATTTCAGTTAAATGAAATTATCCTGAACCCAACTGAGGGCCATTTCTGGCAAGTGGATCATATCAAGCCAGTTTTCAGTGGGGGTGGACAGTGTTCGCTTGAAAACTTCCAAACACTATGCACAATTTGTCACAAAGAGGTAAGTACAGAATGCAGCAACAAAATTTCATGAACTTTCAACATTAAGAAATGGATTTCATATGATTTTTTTCTTTTCTTTTGTATATTTTCAGAGAACAGCAAAACAAGCAAAAGAAAGAAGCCAAGTTAAAAAACAATGTGTTGCGTCAAAATATTCATCAGACATCACAAAGTTTTTTGTAAAATTATGAAAAGGTTTGATGAAATGGATTTTTGTAATACCTCTTAGTACAGCTCATTAAGAAAACACCATGTGGGAAATGTTTAAAAAGCTACCTATACATGTTTTTCCATTCTAAATTTCAAATTTAGAAAATGAAGATTTCATTTACAAATTGTTAGCAAGGTTCATGCAGTTATTTAAATCCTTGGTACTGCAGCATTTGTAGTGCATTTTTGTTAACATCTGACCCACAACTGTGGAACTGATTGAAGGGTAGGTTATAATTTGCATAACAATCCTTGCTGTTAAACAAAAGTATCTTTTATAAAATTAAACATGTACATTAGTTCATCTCAAAATAAACTGGTATTTTTACATTAACTTTTTCCTAATTTATGTAGATGGAAAAATACAGAAACCATTTTCGACATATTAATGTAAAAAGCAAAACTGGCAAAAAACGGTTTTGTGTGTGTGTGCGCGCGCGTGCGCATCCATCAAGATTAACATTCAAACCTGATAGTTGTCCACCAGGATTTGGTATCATCTGATGCAAGTAGAGGGGTATGATTGTTATATTAACTACCAATAATTTTCCTGACACAATGCAGTATCATAAAGCAGAATGATTTAAATAAGTACATTATTAGCCAGGCCACAATGAAGTGAATTTTATTACATATAGTATGTAAACAATTTAAATCCACTGATTTATTATGTTTCTAATCTACTCACTTTACATGAGCATAAAACTTAACAAGGCTGAAGAGCAGGATTGCATAATTTAATCTACACTTAATAATACACAGTTCTGTGATATTTTCATTATCATTGTAAAGCGCTTTTTTAAAGAGGAATGGATGGCTAAGTAAAGATAAGCAATCCTCCAACATCAATAGGCAAGGGGCTGTCATGGAAAAGATAATAATTCCATAAATGTTATGCATATGAAGACTTTTTCACATAGGCTTTACTCTTAAATATTATCTTCATTTCCAGGAGACTGGATAAACATCTCTTTAATGTACTTGCTTGGGTGAAAACGTTGCTGAGTGGTTGTTAAAATCAGAAGAACGTTGTGTCGGATGAGAAGGCACCTGCAAGTCGGAAATCATCTTTTGTAAGAACACTGTACATCCGCTGAGGCAAAGGTTTAGAGTAAGGAGCAGGCCGTGGAACAGTTGTACGTAAAATAACCTCACGTCCTGCAGGGGGTGGAAAATCTGAACTCATTCCAGAATTGAAACGTTTTTCGTCCATAGAGCCCGATCTTTTTAGTTCTTCATCATAGGGCATAATTGGAGCAACCTAAAAGAAAAGGGAGCCTTTTAGTATTGAACTGTTTTTTTGTATTTGTTTTTGAGATATGCTAGCATAAAAACATAACAGTCAATAACTATTAAGTGTGACAAAGCACAACATTCACTGGGATATAAGCTTAAGGAAAAAGCATTTGTTCTATTGAGTTTCTGCTTAAGAAATTGACTAATGCTGATAAAAACCCATAAAATATATGTTCTGCACCCACAACATTATCTCACTGAAATGCCAAAAGGGAGGCTTTAAACTACACACTGATCTGTTCAACTAAGAAAGCTATTTTTGTTATGAAACAACAGGCATTTGTTTGAATCAGAACACTGATTCAATCAAAAGATAAAACTGGACTGAAATTATTTTGCTCTTTCTCAATGGTGGGATCTGTAACCAGAGAAACCAACTCTAACTAGATCTGGTATCAGGATGTTATCCATTAATCAGACATTTTAATCCATCTATTTTCTGCTGATCCTATCATACCTAAATGAAATTTTAAATTGATTAGAGATACTGTGCTTGAACAGAGTTTCTACTCAACCATCAAACTATAAGTCCTGCTTGGTTCAAATTAACTGTCCAACTACTTCACACAACTGTTGTGTACTACTCTGAAAATGGGGGGGGGGGGTTTCTTCCAATATTCAAGAGGTAACAATTGAAAAAAGAAAAGCTCCATAGAGAAAATAGCTGCAAAGCAAATGGAAAATAGATTACTATTACTTTTATTCAAGCCAAGTGGAGAACCTATCATTTTATACAATGTGTATTTTAATGCTATCGCAGTTTGGTGCTTGAAATGCAGACATGTAAGATACAGCTATCTTAAACAAGAAAATAAGCTGAAAGTTATACACACACAAAAAATTCCTCAAGATTCTAAAAACCCATTTGACCCATTTTAACTATTTCCTTCGTACTCCAGTGATGTCAAAGGTCATAACTTAATTTTTTAAAAATGTCAATGCTTTAATTATGCAAATAAGCAGTAGTTGAGCCATATGCTATGCTGCTAAAGCCTTCATACCCATGCAGCACCTACATGAAGTTAGGCAGATGACCAGAAACAGGGAAAAAACTAGTTACCTCCTCAGATGATTCAGTCAGCTGGGTAAGAAAGAGAATCAATGGTGAAAGGCAAGTCAGAGATGACTCACATAGGGTTAAAGAGAGGTTTTGGAACAGAGGGGCAGCAGCCTTACAATTGGATTTGTTGCTATGCACAGAAACTGATAAACACTCGGAACACAAAACAAATCTAAAACAAACTGATAACAGGACCAGTACAATGTAAATAATCAATTGCATCAATATAGTCAAGTCCATCCAACTTTCCCATGGAGCAATTATATAACCTATTGTCTATCCCAGTTCTGTAATGATGGAGTCAGGACTTTTACATTTACTTTTAGGATTTCTAAAGGGAACTCCAATAAAGATGCATTCTACTTCTATGAATCAAATCACATGACAAGTAGGCAGCTTATGCCAATGTATCCTTTACACATGCAGGAGATTGTGTCTATTTTTTTGTATTAATCCAATGTGCATAATATTAAGGTTAATCAAAGAACATTAAAGGTGGTCTTCAAGTTACAATAGCAATTGCCGTCTCTGCAATGCAACTATAAAGTGAAATGGCAATGGCAATCCTTCCAGTTCCAGTCACTGTTGCTAACCAAATCCCACAATTTTTAGGCAGAGGCAATTTCCTTCTAGCTTCCTACAACTAAAGTTAAGTGGGGAAGCCAGCAGGAAGTTGCAGGTCAGAGACTGGCAGTCAGATAAGTGGCTGCTGCTGAGTGGGCGAGGAAGCAAAGGAGTGCTTGGCGCGGATGCAAGACGTGTGGTAAGGATAAAGAGTGCAAGAAGCGTGGGGAGGATGCATGGAGATGTACAAGCTGCAGCATGGGTTAGGAAGGGTCTGCAAGGGTGTGATGCGGGTTGGGAGGGTATGCAAGAGGCAGAGCAAGCATTTTAGGGGGTGGTGCAGGAGATGCAGAAGATATGGGGTGTGTGGAGGTGCAGCACAGGCCAGGTGCATGAGGAGTGAGGAAGAGGTGCAGGACAGTAATTTCAAAGAGTTACTGACTGAATAGTCACAGGTTTCATAGTTCTCAACCTATGACTATTGAGTCAATTAACTCTGAATTATGACGCTGCTGCATGAATTGGGGGATTATGAATTGGTCTTTGAAGTTCTAGCAGTCCTAGCAGCCCCGTATGCACAGTCCATGATGTGCACCCACACTCATCTGATACATACTGCATCCTGACTCCCACTGTATTGCTTAACCCCAATAACCCTCTTGCAATTTTTTTTTCTGTTAATGACTCTGTAATCCCTTGCATCGGGGTGGAGTCAGGGCAACTGAACAGAGCTGAGTGTTTACTGGCCAGATACTCCTTCTGTCAGCAATGCAGAGTTCACAGCAGATATATACTCATTGTGCCCAGAGAGAGAAATATTTGCCGCTACCTAGGATCAAACTCCGAGCCTCCTGATTGTAAGGTGAGAGCTCCACCTCTAGGCCACTGCACCACTCAAAGCCTATTGCAGAAACGCCTGGATAAATTAAGAGGAGCTACCTATTTGGGGCTTATTTTTAAAAAGCTGTTTTTAATATTAGCAATATATTAATACTGAAACAAGATGTCATAGTAAAATGGATTACAGCAGTTCTCTGTGATACATCGATTTTTGTTCTAGCAAGTAAACCTAGCATAACAACTCATGCTGTTAGGTCCTCAGAAATAATTAAAATCCATTTGAGATAAATACAGATTAACAGAGAACAAACTATTAGCATTGGATGCAATATCTGGATAACATAAAAAGATTCATTTGGAAGGATCCAAAAGACCCTGGACAAGGAGAAGCAAAGAATCCAGAAAGATGCTATACTTATCTATTATATCTAAACCAAAATAAGCCACTTACATTAAACTCTTGGTCTAGGAATGAGGAGAACCAAGTTGATATCCCTGCCTATTTATGAATCTTACGGCTGGGCTAGTCACACTTTCAAATCCACCCAATTCAAGAGGTTGGAGAGAAGAAAAACAACCTTCTCAATTAGGTAGTAGAGAAAACAAGAAACAGGTGGGGAGAATTATACAAGTTGCCCTGAATTCCTTGAATTGCAAGTCAGAAGAAAATACAATGCCACCATAGAAGAATTGAAACCAATACTGATTAGGGGAGGTGAGGGAAATACAGCTTAAGGTGACTTCCTGCACCAAACAGTAGTATTTTTTGCTTTAAATTTCTGGTCCTGCACCAGTTATAGTCTACTCATATGGCTCTTTTCATGCGAGCCTCAGCTTGACTATTTTAAATCATTCTGCTAAGGTTCATTTCTTCCCTCTTGTGACCACTCACACTTTCTTAAGTCTTCACTTCACCTCATACTTTTTCCATTTTTCAGGAACTACCATAGGTAGCTCTTTAATTCTGTCCCCTTGTTCCTGGTGCCATTACCTAATCTATCAAGCTGTTTTAGTCCTGGTCCTAAACCAATACCACGCAGTGAGATGAATACAGGTACATTTTATAGGCTATCATTGTACAGTATGATGAAATATTAAGCTTGAAAATCATTCACTATTAGCAAAGGCAAACTTGATTTTGTTCTGGCATTCCCCAAAACATTATCACCAATATCACATCTTTTGAATCAATATGCATGAATGCCATATCACATTAAAATATAGCAATTGTTGGAATTTTTGTAAACATTTCATACAAACTACTTCCTGAAAAGAACAGGTTCTACCATTTGTTTATTTAATTGGGAATTTAACATCAAAATTATATTTCAATCCGTGTCTATTTGATGTAACATGGGTTAATTTTTAATTAGTTATTTTAGTTAGAACAGATTATCACAGCTATTTCTCTGGAAAATACACCCGTAAATGTATTATGCAAACACGAATTTTCAAAATCTGGCATTCAAGTATTGTAACAAAAAGAGCAATTGTTTTATAAGTATATTAGAGAAACTAAGCAGTCCATCTTACCCTTTGTGCATTCACAAAAAGCTTGTGAATTATAATACCAGCAGGCCCTCTTCTGGCACCAAGGACTGATACTTCTGGTTGTTCCAGAAAGGAATTTACAAATCTAACAGCACAGAAAGAGTGGGAAGAAATATATCAGCAAAACAAAAATCGTTTTACACAGTTTTAAAACAATAACCACTGGAATACTGAACATTGAAAGTTCTCAACCGATATTTACATTCAATAGAAAATTTTCAATTGACATTCTGAAGAAATGATTCAGGTTGTCTTATCTATGATTGAAAATATTTTTTGTAATTAATTTAATTCCTGCTAAGAGAATTTTATCCATGCAAATTTATCAAACAAGTCACTTACTTTTCTAGATCTTTGCGTTCTTCTTCTTTAGTACATTTTTCTATTCCAAATTTTGCTTTTAGAGACCTTGCCCGAGCAATAGTGGCTTCCACATTCATAATTTGACCAATGATTTCCTGGGAAAAGACAAAAAATTCATTTTCTCTACTTGTCATAAGTCATATATTTCAAAGCATCAAGCTTTTATCAGAGCTGGGTTCAATAGAATTTTCCAGAATCGTTCATTCTCTCCTCTCACATAGTTAAGACAACTATATGTAACCTTTTTTTCTTTTTGATTACCATAAAATATTTATTTAAAAGCTAACATTTTTTAAAACAAATTCTTGGACATTATTAGGAAAATGAAATTCCTTACTTCTAGTTTTTTGTCTTCTGGATTTGGGAACCGGAGAACTTTACTGGAATGGCTGATTATCTGCTTAATTATCTTCTTTACTAACCCAATATCTTCCAGAGATTCTATTGGAAGGAAAAAAGCCCATGAAGTAAATTGTAGTAAAAGCACCCTATTTTTACTTGAAACATACAGCCTTGCTTGTTAAGTTATTTACCTTCTTCTTTTACCTTGAGTACGGCTGCATGGATGACACAAGAAAGAAGATGCCTTGCAAGATCAGCTGGTTTCTGAATGGCTAAATAGTGTAGAACCTGAAGATACAGTAAGTCAATTAGACTGCCATAATCTTGCTGCAAAATTGACAACTCTCTCTCAAGGCCTCAAAACTGAATGTTGCCTCATGTCCTTTCTTAAGCATTCAATCCAAAAGCTTCTTTCTCAAGTCTCTAAAGTGGAGGGGCCCACCATCTGAAGGTGCTTCTAAATTTATCAACTTTATTTTTTATTGAAAAGAACATTTTTAATTGAAAGAACATAGCATGCTAGGTAGATGAAAAGGTAACGAAAGACTTGGGCAAAGGCCAAGAAAGAAAAATTCACTGTACTTATTGTTTAAAAAGGAAAACAGGCTCAAGATCAAAAGTAATTGAAAGTTATTCTCTTACTTCATGTTCTTGTAAATAATTTATTTACATGTTTCCACATTCAAAGTGCTTGCCAATTTAGACAATTATATTTCCAAAATGTAACATGCATTATCCAGTCTTACTTTAAAAGTGACCTGCATAGTTGGTTGCCAGAGCAACAATGCAGAAATTCCATACAAATACATTAAATTAAATAAACTAAGCTAATAAATGAAAGTGCCTGTAATAGACTTTCCACTGTCTATACTAGTATGGGCACTATGAAAGCTTTCAGATCTTGCAAAACTAAAATGGAAATGTCTCAGGAATTCCCATAAGCCTCTTTTTTACCTTCTCTGCCTCACGGGTGTCATCAAAAAGGCGCCTCTGCCTCCTTGCTGGAACGGGCTTCGCTGTTTCCCATGCTTCAACCCACATGTTGCTTGGAATCTTCATTCGAGCGCTCAGCTCACCCTTGATGACTACACCCCCACTTTCATCCACAGTTTCCTCTTCAATGTAATCCCGGGGTGAATACCATCTCACAAAATCTTCCAGGCAACAACCAGGGTTGGCAGCCTAAGAACAAAGGGGGGGGGGGAGAGGGAGAACATGCTTATTTGTATATAGGCCATAGTTGTTCAAACTTGAGTGAAGAGTTGTTGTCCTGGGCTGATATAAAATGCATAATACAGTTAATATACATTAAAAACTTCCTTTATTTTTTTATCATCTTGTGGGGCCGTATTAGTAGAAGTTGAGGTGACGCCTGATATGGATTTTCCAGACAATTCTTTTTTGAAAACTAAAAACGCATAAAGGTCAAAGACATTATATAGTGACTCTCTCATTTTTTAAAACCTGAATGCGAAACATTCAAAATGACTGCCAACCTTCCTAACAAATTGTAATTTTAAACTTGTCTGATGACCCTAGATGTGACTATTGCTTATACATTTGCAAATGGCTGTATAACATGTATGAATCAGATCTGAGTTTGATTTTTTTACAACTCCAACTTTTCAATGCAAAGCTTATTTTGACCACTGGCAAGTTTGTAATGTATTTAAAATTAAGGTTATCCCAGAAATTGATGTTCTTTAAAAGCTCAACTGCCTTCTGTACCATGAGGGCAATAGCAATAGCAGTAGACTTATATACCGCTTCATAGGGCTTTCAGCCCTCTCTAAGCGGTTTACAAATTTTTTTAGCAAATT